GCGGGGGCAGCGAGGGCAGTGGGGGCGGCGAGGGCGGCGGGACGGCGACGACGTGCGGCGGGGGCGAAGACACGGCGGCGCGTCGGCATCGGCGTCGAAGATCGAGATGTCGCGCGAGAGAAAAGTGGAACGAAGTCAACGATAACTGAATTTTCGTAAGTGACATATATATAGGAGGGGCCTTTAGTACCGGTTGATGGCACCAACCGGTACTAAAGGTCGCTTTTGGCCAGGCGAAGCGGCGGCAAACTAGGGCCTGTAATACCGGTTGGTGGCTCCAACCGATAATAAAGGAAGACACATTAGTACCGGTTGGAGCCACCAACCAGTACAACTGGTCATGCGCTGCCACCCGCAGTGCGCTACTTTTAGTCCGACCTGACCGAGCGAAGGGCAGCCGCACTGGTTTATAAACCCAGCCGCGACTACCCTTTTGAACTCCTCTATATAGCAGGCTTCTGGGCCTAACTAGGGCGCGCTGCCCTGTGAGCCTGCTGGCCCATTTGGGCCTGTATTTGCACACCCTAGGTCTGGCAGGCCCACCGGACAGCGCCCCAACATTTTTTTATATAATTTTTTTTCCAGCATTATTTATTTTCTTTTATTTATTTTTGAGTAATTTTTTTATATAGTTTTTTCTTTTCTGCTTTATTTTTTCTTCTATTTATTTCTGAGCAGTTCTTTTGCTGTATTTAGTTTCTTTGTGAATATTTTTGCTTTATAATTTTTTTCTTTCCTGCATTATTTATTTTCTTCTATTTATTTTTGAGTAGTTTTTTATATAGTTTTTTCTTTTCTGCTTTTTCAGAGTTCGTTTTGCTGTGATTTACTGTTTCACGGTCATTTCTCTTCCTCTTCTTCTTCTTCTTCTTCTTCTTCTTCTTCCTCTTCTTCTTCCTCTTCTTCTCTCCTTCTTCTTCTTCTTCTTCTTCTTCTTCTTCTTCTTCTCCTTCTTCCTCTTATTCCTCTTCTTCTTCTTCTTCCTCTTCTTCCTCTTCTTCCTCTTTTGCTTCTTCTTCTACTTCTTCTTCTTCTTCTTCTTCTTCTTCTTCTTCTTCTTCTTCTTCTTCTTATATAGTTTGAGAAGTAACTCAGAAAAAATACATTGATCAGTACCGCCTTTCAGCCAAAACACGCTATTGCTACAGAGATCTTCCTTTTTATATAGTTTGAGAAGTAACACAGAAAAAATACATTGATCAGTACCGCCTTTCAGCCAAAACGCGCTACTGCTACAGAGAAGTACATAAAAAATACATTGGTCATCAATGATCTTTTTGTATAGAATCTAAACTGTCAATAGGAATCTACCACCGATTTAAGAACCGGCGAAGACTCCTATTGCACCCTCAAATCCTACACATAGAGTTCAATGAAGACCAAATGCTTGTGATAGTTTGAGAAGTAACATATTTAAGGTGGTCAAATTCTTGCTAGGGGAGCGAGGTGGGACTAAAAATCTGCCGGTGAGCGGGCATTCACGGCCAAGATCCATCACGGAGGCCAAGTCGCCGGCATTCACGGCCAAGATCCGCACCTCCTTCACCGCCTTCATGGCACGCCCTGTCGGATGCTACATCGCGTACAACCGCACCCTGGCCGGTGATCTCCTCCCGGAGATGGCCTTCCTCCATGACTATGAGATGCAGCCCACCATCTTGTCGGCGACGCATCAGGCCACGAACAGCTCCAGCGCCCGCCATTTCTCCTCGTGGATGCCCAGCTCCAAGAAGTCTGTGCGGTAGCCGGCGAGCGTCATATACACGGGGAGGAAGAGCGCAATGAAGAAGGGATTGAGCCGCTCCGTCATGGTGGCACCGACCGGCGCCGCCGCCGCCAGGGAACCGCTCCGTCCATTCCGACCGTCGAAGGCGTTGGTGTCCACGGAGATATGCCCACGCCGGTGCCCACGGCGAGGCAGTGCCTCTCGCGGTGGCCGTCACGGCCCTGGATGCCGCGGTCGTCTCCGCGCAACGCAGGGTGCACGCGCAGACCACATCGATCCACCTCGTCGCCGTGTTGCTTGCGCAGCAGGCCCCGCTGTTCCTCCGCGACGCGCTCGCGCGAGCCCGCAGCACCAACTAGTCCCCGCGCGTGCAGCTCAAGGCGCTCGAGCTCTGCTTCACCGTCTCCCTCGACAGGCTCCCCTCCGCCTCCGCCTCCGCCTCCTCGTCGGCCTCGGGCGCCGTCGAGCAGCCGGAGCCGCCCATGTCCAACTCGCTCATGGTGGCCATCAAGCGCTCGCAGGCCAACCAGCGCCGCAACCCGGACACCTACCACTTCTACCACCAGGCCGCCACCGCCGCCTCGCAGGTCAGGGTCGAGCTCTCGCAGCTCCTGCTCGCCATCCTCAATGACCCCGTTGTCAGCCGCGTCTTCGACAATGCAGGCTTCCGCAGCGCTGACATCAAGCTCGCCATCCTCCGCCTCGCGCCGCCCATGCCGCTGCTCGGCCACCTCCCTACGCGGGCCCGCCCGCCGCCTCTCTTCCTCTGCAGCTTCGCCACCGCCGCCGCCGATGCCGACGTGCCCTCGCCCGCCGGGAGCATCGCCGGAGGCGCCGGGGAGGAGAATGGCCGCCGCACCGCCGAGATCCTTACCCGCGGCCGCAACCCCATGCTCGTCGGTGTCGGGGCCGCGTCCGCCGCTGCAAACTTCGCCGAGGCCTCGCCGGACCACGTCCTCCCCCGTCTGTCCAAACTCCATCGACCAAACAGAACTCGGCATGGAGACGGCGATGGCTAGCACCACCTCCGGTCTCGTCACAAGCGTTGGTGACCTCAGAGAACTGGACGGCGAGCTCCAGGAGAGGGGGCGGCGAGTGGTGGCGGAGGTGATGCGAGTGCTGGATACGCACAGGGAGGGGCGTGTCTGGTTGATGGGGTGGTCGGCCACCTACGAGACCTACCTCACCTTCCTGTCCAAGTTCCCCTTGGTTGACAAGGACTGGCACCGCATGGCATTCCTGATCTCGGTATCTATGGCGTGGGCGAGCGCGGAATCGATGCTGGCCTTGGCCACCATGGTGTTCACCGGCGTCAGCAGCAGCATGGTCCGGCGTAACGCGATCACCGTCCCGCTCCTCGGCGACGAGGTACAGTCCCAACTCAATGTCCTCGGACGGCTTCATCGGGGGAGCGTGCGACGGAGTCGCCGGAGACGAGAACATGTTGCTCTCTGGGTTGGGGGAGGGTGGCGGTGCACTTGCGCTTCCCGTCGAACTCCACCTCCACAAACGCGTTGCAGGACGCCGCGCCATCCTTGGCGGATAGCTCCGCCGCGTCCGCGACTTCCACGACCAGCTTCATCGTGCCGGCGATCTAGCTCGACAACCAGCAGCAGCCCGAGGTACGCCGACCTCCAGGAGCCAGTGCAGCCCCACTCCGTCGGCCTCGACCTGCAGCTCTGGCACAAGGCGCATGGCGCGTCGTAGCTGTTGTTCCCGTGCTTTGCAAAAGACCCCCAACGGCGACGGCGTGGCCACTGGTTCGGTGAAGCAGGCTCATGTCTGGACGGGAGGTAGAGCAGAGGAAGAGCTGGTCTGTTGACCAAGCGGAGGGAACGAGGGGAGGAGAGAGCGAGGGAATTGCATCATTTTTGCAAAAGACCCCTGGTTCCCTGCATATTCGAGCGGCTGAGATGATGTGGCAGTCAAAGCACACTTGGCAGCGGTTGACTTGGGTCAGATCAGCATGTACGTAAACCAAACCGTATAATGGACCGTAGATGACCCTTTAATACAAGTTTGGTGACTGTATTATTGGTATTTGTAACCACATAACTAAAGCTAACAATGTGGACCTGTAGTGAATTTTTCTCTTCAGGGAACAATGAGTGAGTGCGACGAGGCTCGAGCTGGATGGCCTGGATGGATGATGATTAGCACTGACACTCCGGGCCCGCGGCGTCGCGGCCGCTGGCCAATGGGGCCGCGCCAGGTAGGCCACTAACGGGTGGCATGGAGACTATAAAATGGAAAGGAGAAGCTCCTCGGCAGACACACACTCTCTCTTCTTCCTTGTTAAGATTAGCAGTGGAGCTTCTTGCTAATTGACCAATCACTTCCACTGATCACTTCGATTCTACGCCAATGGAGGCCAGAGACGGCGGCTCAGCGCCCTTGCCGTGCTCGTACGCGCCGCTGCCGGAGGATGCCGAGGCCGCCGCGACGGTGGGGCGCACGCGCCGGACTGCAGGCCCGCTTTGTGCCGCGCTGCTGCTGGCGACGGCGGCTGTGCTCCTCGTGGTCGCCGCGCTCGCCGGTGTCAGGTTCGCCGGCCAGCCGCCCGCGGGTGGCATCGTCGTCATGTCTGGACACGAGACGACGGCTGACGCGGCGCCGATGAGCGCCAGCAGCCGGGGGCCTGAGTCTGGCGTCTCCGAGAAGACGTCCGGCGCCGCCGCGCACGGCGGCATGCTGCGCGCGGACGCTGGCGGCAACGCGTTCCCGTGGAGCAATGCCATGCTCCAGTGGCAGCGCACCGGCTTCCACTTCCAGCCCGAGAGGAACTGGATGAACGACCCCAATGGTACGGTACATTTCCGCCATTGTTACGGATGCCATGCATACTTATTTGGGTAATCTTGTTGATGATGCAAAACTCATTTTTCGATGCAAAATGCAAGTGCAGGTCCCGTGTACTACAAGGGGTGGTACCACCTCTTCTACCAATACAACCCGGACGGCGCCATCTGGGGCAACAAGATCGCCTGGGGGCACGCCGCCTCCCGCGACCTGCTCCGGTGGCACCACCTCCCGGTTGCCATGTCCCCCGACCAGTGCTACCCGACGGCCGCATCGTCATGCTCTACACCGGCTCCACCAACGCATCGGTCCAAGTCCAGTGCATGGCCTTCCCCACCGATCCCTCCGACCCTTTGCTCATCAACTGGACCAAGTATGAGAACAACCCGGTGATGTACCCGCCACCGGGCGTTGGGGAGAAGGACTTCAGGGACCCGACCACTGCGTGGTTTGACGGTTCGGACGACACATGGCGGCTCGTCATCGGCTCCAAGGATGACCGCCATGCCGGCATGGTCATGACCTACAAGACCAAGGATTTCATCGACTATGAGCTTGTCCCCGGGTTGCTTCACCGTGTGCCAGGGACAGGTATGTGGGAGTGCATTGATTTGTACCCGGTCGGTGGTAAAAGGGGCATCGACATGACAGAGGCAGTGGCAACGGCATCCAAGAATGGTGGCGGCGATGTTTTGCACGTGATGAAGGAGAGCTCCGATGATGACCGACACGACTACTACGCGCTTGGAAGGTACGATGCTGCGAAGAACACATGGACGCCACTAGACACCGATGCCGATGTCGGCATTGGGCTGAGGTACGACTGGGGAAAGTTCTATGCGTCCAAGACATTCTACGATCCATCAAAGAAGCGACGCGTGTTGTGGGGGTGGGTCGGCGAGACGGACTCCGAGCGCGCTGACGTTGCTAAGGGATGGGCCTCCCTGCAGGTACTTGACATTTTCATCATCTTGTTCAAGTGATTGTTTAATACTTCTATTAATCGATTCTTAGTACACTATCTCTTTGTTAGCACAAACTTGAATGGTTAGGAGTGTTGCATGCACTTTTTGTTGGGTTTCATAGACACGTCGGCATGATTGCAGGGCATGCAAATAATAATAGCAGCAACTTGGCAGGAATTATAGATAGATAGCAGCTAACGAGATGTTGCTGTCATCTCGTTGTCAATTGTCCCTTAGTTTCCTTCAGCTTGCAAAGAGTTCCAGCTACTGTTGAGATACTTTCAATGCACAATGCAACAAACAAACTCTTCACGCCCCATGTAGCCTAGTTGCATGCCAAGAACCACCTAACTGGATATAATAAGCATAGAGAATTTCTGTTAGCACGAACCAAACTGGGATTAGACAAGAAGAGTGATGTCTTTGTCTTGAGTTACCTAGTATTCCCTCTCTTTTGCTGTCATAGTGATGATACCTGGGTTCTAAAAGGAAAAGCAAACGATGATAGAATGGTGGCAGTTGCTAGAAGGAACTGACATGGATGATGAAGAAGTTCAATTGTTACAGTTGCTAATGCCTTTTATTTGATATATATTGCAGCAGTACATTATACACCAATGTAACTAGCTAGTTGTGTGTGTCCTACAAGCAAAACTCATAACCATGAATCAATCATGCACCACCATGTGGTCTCGTGTGCACCAAACTATGATTAGACAAGAAAAAGGATATCTTGTCTGCTTGCCCCACAGTTAACTACTTCTATATATGCTGTCACAATGATTGGAACCAAGAGGGTTCTCAAAAGATAATTAGTGCAAGTTGCTAATGTTTTCTGTTGTTACTATTGCAGTCGATCCCTCGCACGGTGGTGCTGGACACCAAGAAAGGGAGCAACCTTCTGCAGTGGCCGGTAGAGGAGGTGGAGACGCTCCGGACCAACTCCACCAACCTTGGAGGCGTTACCGTCGACCATGGCTCCGTATTCCCACTCAGCCTTCACCGTGCCACCCAGCTCGACATCGAGGCCTCATTTCGTCTTGACCCGCTCGACGTCGCCGCTGCCAAGGAGGCTGATGTCGGCTACAACTGCAGCACCAGCGGTGGCATGACTGGACGGGGAACGCTCGGTCCCTTCGGTCTCCTTGTGCTCGCTGATGCCAGGCGCCACGGTGGCGACATGGAGCGGACCGGTATCTACTTCTACGTCGCCAGAGGCCTCGACGGCGGCTTGCGCACACACTTCTGCCATGACGAGACGCGCTCATCTCATGCCAACGATATTGTCAAGAGGGTCGTAGGCAACATTGTCCCTGTGCTCGATGGCGAGGAGTTTTCAGTGAGGTTGCTAGTGGACCATTCCATTGTTGAGAGCTTTGCAATGGGCGGGAGGTTGACGGCGACGTCACGGGTGTACCCAACGGAGGCAATCTATGCCAACGCTGGGGTCTACCTCTTCAACAACGCCACTAGCGCCCGGGTCAACGTCACGAGGCTCGTCGTCCATGAGATGGACTCCTCCTACAATCAGGCCTACATGGCCTCACTGTAAAAAGAAAATGCAAATATTATTTTGTTTAGTAAAAATATGATAGATAGCACATTGTATGTACTGTTTTTAGACCAAGGAAGGTCGCTCCCATTTCTTCGTTTCCACTTTTCTGCGTTGTCTGATCGATCTCCACCAAGTCTTTTTTTCTCATTTCTGTTTTCTACCAATGGCCACCAAGATAACTTTAAACAAATTTTGAATTCAAATTCTTTTAAGAAAGTAATAAGTATATTTATGCCCGATGAATGCAGGAAAAAACATCCTACCAAGGTGTTACAGCAAGGAACAACCACATCCAAGTTGGAGATTTTCGATCTCAGGACCTTCATGACACCTACACTGCTGATTACCACCACAACCACAACACAGTTCAGCGAATAGGACCGTCCTCGCTTTATTTGTTCAAGGTTTTGCGTTCAAATTCAAATTTTCAACCAAAAAATTCAAATGGTAATATATTTTCTTGGGGTGGACCGGAAAAACTGGTGACCGGTTTGGTCCGGACTCACCTGGAGGACTCACATGGTATGCACTTATATTTCTGACATCAAAGAAAAATGTCCACTAATTCTAATTTTGAGTAGGTGTTTTGTTCATATTTTCTTCTACTCCCTCCCATCCACACGTTAGTTCAAAACTGCGACACTTATTTTGCATCGGAGGGAGTAGTACTTATGTCATGGTTGTCTTTGTTCTGTACTTTGAATATAATGTTTGTAGACTTGTGGTCAACACTATTCAGAATTCATTACAAAAGGTTTTGCGTGCATGTGGTCTTGTTGTTTCATGCGACGATCGACGATCAATCTGTACATCATTGCTTTTGCACTCGAGGCTAGGCACAAGGTCAGCTCGTATGTTAACTATAGTTTAAAAAAGTGCACTATCGGTGATTCGGTGAACAACTTATCACATACAAACACATCTCCTGCATACCCTAACGGGAATTATTGGGTAAACAAACAAGCGGGAATTGTTGTGTAAACAAATGAGAATTATTGGAGGGGAGGTACTACATACACTCATGGACAAGTGTCAATGATGCCAAGCCCAAGCCCAGGGATTTTGATTATATTAGATGGATAGACAATGGAAGATTGGAGTGGAAGATTTGAGCTGGCAGTGGCATGTGCAGTGCAAATCTGTGAGACCGTGAGGCCACCAAGAATGTTGATGATAAGATTCTGGATCTTCTCCACCACTCACCTGATGGCCGGAATTAGTGGCCTCTGCCAATACTAACATGCGCCATGGGTTTCTTCTTGCCTTGATGCATGCATGTTTGGTTGGTGTCGAGAGAACCATCGGATTCTCTCTTTATTCTTGTGTGCTCACAGTTCTAGAAAGGAAAAATAATGTAGAGCTTAATGCTAAGTAATTCTTCTAGACAAATCATTGCGGAATCAATATTCACAATGGGTTTAGTTTGACTGATAGATATAGTTCTTATTTTGTTGCCTTTTGACAGGGGGTATACAACTAGTAGTTCACATGCAAACCTTTGTAGTGTCAGAAGTAAGTAATTTGTGAAATCTAATTAATCAGCAAAAAACAAAAATGCACATGAGCACAACCGGCTTGTGTGGTTCGTGCCTTGCTATTGTTGTCCACAAACAAAACTGAATCATTGCCACGTCGAACAATGCATTATTGCAGCTGGCATTGGTTGCTTGCAAGTTTGGTCCAAGGAGATTGTCATCGACGAAGACAAATAGATACAACCCGAGAGTCAACAAGGTAACAACCACACACACCCATGTGTGCATGCCAAGTGTATGCATAGTTTATTCTTAACCTTCTCGAGTTATCTTGCTAAATGCACACCGCATACATATTGATCCAATCATCAATATGCGTTGATATGTGGAGGGTAAGTGGGCAACATCAGAAAATGAGCATGGGTGCGGTCAAAAGTTATGGTGGCCGCCAACCAGTAGAGTTGGCTATGTCAACCATTCGAGTGGTGGATAGCTTGAATGTCTTGAAGGTGCCATTTTAGTTTCTGGAGATTATTACCGACTGCAATAATATGCTGCCACTTGTTACAGGCCGCCTTGTCAGCGTCAAGCTCAGAACTTCAATGTTAGAAAGTGCCCTTGTGTTCATTTTTGTGGCCGACATCGTTGCAGCCGTAGGTAACTATGGCCAATAGCCTCATCATGTAACTTCCAAATCATTGCTATTTATACTAATTGTTGCCACATGTCATGTTGCGCAAGCACACAATGTTGGTGAGCCCACCACAAAAAATGAAAGGACATATGACATGGCATGGACCATATGGAGCGACAAGTGGAGAGAGCCACTTACAGAAGTTTGGATTCCAAGGATGGGTGAGAGAAGTTGCATGATTAAAATCGAGTCTGATCATAGATTCATGGTCCCTACCTTCACCCGCATTATTGTACCTGCCTGATGCCGATCAATCTTCGCGGAACCATAGCGCTGGATGGAGAAAGACATTGTAGCTTGGACAACGACACTCTTTCACACACACATGCACGCTAGACCCCTCTTTGTGGGTCGTGTAGGCCCCCGTCTCTCTTCCTATATCCATTATTGCTAGTTGTTGAATATTTTTTTGACTGTGATGTTGATTTGGTTGATCGTTGTTAGCGTTTCTTTTTTTTTTGAACCGGGCGAATCCCCTTTCCATTACTTGAACATAACGGAAATACAACCAAGTTCAGCAGATAGGACGGGAAAGAGGAAAGCGGGTTCAAGCATCGCCGGGAAACCCACCATGAGCACTCGCCATCGAGATTACTCACCATGGGGCGAAAACCCGACGACACTAAATATCCAGGACTCCAACATCTAACTCACAGTTAACACCAAAAGACCAACGCTCACATTTGAGCAACATGCTCCACAACATCCTCACGCAGGAGGAAACTCGACCAGAAACAGTAAAGCAAAAGGCGCAACAGATCAACTTCCTCCCTCTTCGTTAGTTCTCAGTGCACTCCCTCATCCCTGGTGCGCCGTTGCGCAGATCCTCATCATACAGACGCGCTGTCCTTCAGCAGAGCTCCACCAACTCTCAGCTTCTCAGCATCCTCCTGTTTCATCAGTCCTGCCCAGTAACAAAGAAGTGCACATGCAGCGAAAATACATTCAAATGGGGTTTTGAGAGGAATATCCTCAAAAGTAGCTCGGTTGCGGCAAGTCCAAATAGCCCAACACAAAGCTGCAATGCCAACCGTATAGAAAACATCGCCACCTGGAAAGAAAGTATAACACCAAGCATATGCCTGCCACAAGTTGTCAGGGCATAGATCCGTACCAAACATGCAACCAACTACTCTCCAGGTAACCCTAGCCACAGGGCAGGTGAAAAAGAGATGCTGGGAGGTTTCTCTCTCCCCACAAAAGGAACACTTGGGTTCCCCCCTCCATCCACGACGTTTCATCACATCCCTGGTCAGTACCACATCTTGCGATAGCTGCCACATAAAAATTTGGATTTTCAAAGGGATTCTGGCTTTCCATATCCAGCGATAGTCACACCCAGCAATGCTTTTTTCCAGGTAAGCATAAAGAGCTTTAGTGGTATAATAGGGCTTGGGTCCCAGCCCCCACTTGATACTATCACTATCCGCAGATATATAGGTTTCCCTAACCGTGGAAATCATCTTTTTCCATTGTTCATTAAGTTCCGAGGTCAGTCTCCTTCGAAAGAAGGTGACAGGATTAGCCTCCAAACAATCTTTCACGACACAATCGGGCTTATTGCAAATAGTAAAAAGTTGAGGAAATTGGACAGCAAAAGGGGCTTGGTCGCCAACTGGATCATACCACAGCCTAGCTATGTTACCAGATTGTACGACCACTTTCCTCCCTGCCATATATAGGTCTCTCGCTTTCATAATATCCTTCCAACACGGAGAGTCAGTGATTCTCCCCTTAACCGAGGCTACTGTATCTCTACCAAAATATTTGGCTTTGACAATGTCTTGCCACAGCCCCTGTTTCATCTCAAGCTTCCACCACCATTTCACCAAAAGGCAAATATTTTGCCTGTGGAGATCTTTCACACCCAAACCCCCCTTCTCCTTGGATCGACAGATCCTAGACCATCTAACCAGGTAATATCTTTTCCTGTTTTTAGTCACTTGCCAGAAGAACTTTCTTCTGTGTTTATCTAACCTCTCAATGATGGTTTTAGATAAAAGAAACATGGACATATAATAGTATGCAATGCTGGAAATATTAGCATTCAATAAAGTCAACCTGCCCCCCGAGGAGGCATTACTTCCCAGTCCAGATTCACATCTCTTGACAAATTTTGCCTCAAGGTATTCCCAATCCACACCTTTCAAAGTCGAGTAACTGACAGGAACACCAAGATACTTCATTGGGAAATGCCCAATCTGGCAACCAAAAATATCAGCATATTCTTTCAAAATATTATCATCTCCCCCCACGCTAAGAATTTCACTTTTTTGAAAGTTAATTTTCAGCCCTGACATGAGTTCGAACATATACAACAACAGTTTCAGGTTGAGCGCTTTTTCAGGGTTATGTTCAATGCACAGGATTGTGTCATCTGCATATTGCAGAATGGCCACTCCCTTATCGACCAAATCCGAGGCCAACCCATCAATCAAACCGTTTGTTTGTGCTTGCAGCACCATTTTACACAAGCACTCGACAGCAATATTGAACAGAAAGGGGGACACCGGATCTCCTTGTCGCACTCCTTTGTGGCTTTGGAAGTAAGGCCCCGAAGTATTGTTTATTTTCACACTAACCGTGCCATTGTGGAGGATTTTATCCATCCACCTGCACCAGGTTTTGCCAAAACCTCTCATCTCAAGACACTTAAGCAAGAAATCCCAGTTCACTTTATCGTAAGCCTTTTCAAAATCAAGCTTGATAACGATGCCAATTTTCTTCTTTACATGAGTATGGTGCAAGATCTCATGCAAAGTGAGGACCCCATCCATGATATTCCTGTGTTTAATAAAGGCATTTTGGTGTTTGCTAAACAGAGTATC